ATGGGGGTCTTGGGTTTAGAGATCCCCAAGCTTTTAATTGGCTTTTCTTGCAAAGATGGCCTGGAGATTCTATTCTCTTGATGAGAGCCTGTGGAAACAGCTAATTGAAGGAAGATACCTGAAGAGTAAAAACTTTGGGTAGTAAAACCTCCGTCAAATTGTTCATGGGGCTTTCAGCGCTTTATGGCTAGGAGGGATGTGTTAAGAGAGGGAGTTTGTTGGAGTGTGGGTGATTGGGTTAATATAAATATATGGGATGATCCTTGGATCCTGAGCCTTCTGGGTTTTATGCCAATGGGGCCCTGTCCAAATCCAACCCAAGTTAATTGGGTGTGTGACTTAATAGATCCTCAGACTAACAGTTGGGATGTAGATAGAGTGGCTGAGTCTTTTGACTCAAGGATATCTTCTCTTATTTGTTCCTTAGACCTGCCCATTTCAGGTTGTGTAAACAAATTAATTTGGGTGGCTGATCCTAAGTATCGTTTCTTAGTTAAATATGCATACCTTGTAGCGATGAATCTATTGTGCCCCATAGAGGAAGAATCTGTTCAAGAGTCTTTGTCACCAAACTAATGGAAAATAACTTGGAGGTTAAAGATCCCCCCAAAATTGAAACTCTTTTTGTGGAGATGCTGTCTGAATAGTTTAGTTGTTAAGGAGGCCCTTCTAAGAAGAGGCTTAGGGGAAAATGATTTATGCCCAGTGTGTGGATCTAAACCCGAATCCATTATTCATGATTTATTATTCTGTGATCATGCCAGAGCTTCCTAGCTTGCTAGTAACTTTAATCTCTCATCCTTGGGTGAGAGGGCTTGGAGCTCTTTTGCAGATTGGTGGTCTTGGTGGCTAGCCCAGAATCTTCCCTTAGGGGAGAGAGGATTGCAAGTTATAGAGACTTCAATTTTCTTAATTTGGTTCATTTGGAAAGCCAGAACTAATTTGGTGTTTAATGGCGAAAATCCTAACCCAGCTCTTTCTTCACTTTTTTCATTTAGATTGATGGTGGCAGTGAGGAAAGCTTTCCTTCAAGAATCAACAAACTATTCCATATCTGATTCTTCTTCAAGCAAGGTATGCTCCTAGGAGAGGCCAATTTTCGATGATTTTTGTGTGGCAACAACTGATGGCAGCTTTTCAGAGAACTCAAGTGGTTTTGGTTTTGTGTTAAGGTCCAGTTCTGGGTCAGTTTTGTTAGCCTCCTGTGGAAGGTGCAAGGCTGTTTCAGCTGAATTTGCAGAACTTTTTGCAATTAGGGAATGTTGTTTAGCAGTGAAAACCCTGGGTTTGGTGTTTGTTAAAGTCAAATGTGATGCTATGAATATAGTAATCTCTCTGTTAAGTCTTTTTGTTTTGCTTCGAAGGCTTGGCCTTTGTTGCAGGATATTTACAGCCTTGCGGGACCAAATGTGATGTTCAATCATGTGGATCGCAGTAGAGTTCATGCAGTTCATGTGTTGGCTACTAAAGGTAAGGCAGGTTTGGAAGCTGAATGGACTTCTCCTAGGTGGCTTCTTCAAGAATTAGATTTTGTCCCTGATGTGGTGTCCTCTGTTCCTGTTTCTTAGTTGCTGTTGGTTTGTTTGTTTTCTTTCTGTGTTGCTGTTGTATCTTGGGACTTACCAAAAAAAAAACTATTTTTAACAGAGAGCATGACACTTAACAAACAGTTTTGACCTTTAAAGACAATACCCCAAAAGCTCAATGTGTTTTCTTGTCTATTCGACTGTTGAAAGATCTACCTAGAAAGACTTGCCAAACAACTGGAAAGTTGGTGCGGAAGGGCACACATCGTTCCCTATTTCACTTTGGTGTTTGGATATTTTATTCTTGGAAAATGTTTGGGTGTCGGAAAAAATATTTTTCCCTTGTTGTAATGGAAAAAAAAAAAAAAAAACTATGAGCCACACATGGTCTGACATGCTCAAATGTTTGGCCTCCATGGAAGATTGATGTTAAAGTATGATTTGAAGAGAAAAAACTTTGACTGTTGGGAACATTTTTGGGCATGACCCCTTAGCATGGGTGTGCAGTCCCAAGAATAATTGCGCTCAATGTTCCTTTAACCAAAATGACAAACGGGAAACTGAATGGGTTGATGTGTTATTTTCTTATTTGAAAGGGGAGAAAAGTTTGTCTGTTTGGACAAAACAGTTTCATGTGCCATGCATGACACAATAGCATGAGTGTCGGGTAATAAGTTAATTACAATCAATATTCTTTTAATTAAGAAGAAAAATAAAGAAGTAGAATAACATGTCATGTACAGAAAGCTTCAAAACAGAACAACCAAGAGGTTGGGTGATTCCAACTCAAACAGGTCGGATTTATATGCTTATATTGAAAATTTGGCTGGGGATGATAGATAGGGTTTAAAAAAAAAAAAACTTAAACTTAGCAGCTCATCATGTCATGTGGCTAGTTGGGTTGTTCTTCAAATGTTTCATTTACCAGGGATCTCCCAACCTGTTTCCAGAAGATCTTTTCTAGATGAAGAAAAAGAAGAAGTACCAGAATTCTCATGTGGTTTAATTAATGCTGTATGATTTTCAGATGATCGTGGCGCTGTATATATTTATAATTTCTTTTAAAATTTGGTTTGATCGACCAGGCCGGAGCAACGTTGGATGTTGGAACTTGAAGCTCAAAATAATAATATTAATTACTTTTTTTTAAATAGAAATATGAGTATATTTTATAAAGTTATGAAACCGAAGCTTATAAAGGGGAAAGGGAACTCGGCATTTTCTGTTTTGGGGTGAGGTTCCTCAATGGGTCTTTGGCTACTAGTACTAGCTAAATTGGGCTAGGTGGTGAGGTGTCATCAGGTCATTTGGTAGATTAAACAGGGATTAGATATCCTCGAAATTAATTAATTGGGGTGAGGGGCTCACTGTTGTTGACGAATGACATGGCCTAGATTGGAAAAGTCAAATTTAAAGCTCAAGCTGCACAATGGGTTGCGTGCATGGCCTGGAACATTTTGGAAATTGGGTTACTTAATTCAATATCTTATCTTCTTAATGGAGTTCTCTCCTCTGAGTGCTAGAGTTGGTCTCCATAACCTCTTTTCTAAAACAAATTATAGAGAATGAGGCAAGCTCAAGTCAATGGAATCATGAAATGGAAAGCTTTTGGTTTTCATTGCGATAAGAATGCTGGATTGTCAGCAGCATCACATTTCATGTTTCATCGTCCACATACACACATTTAGTCTGTAGTCTGGATTTCGCAGAAAATAGTTCAGTTTTAAATAGATGTGGGTTTGGAACCTGCTTTCATCCTTAGGTTCCTTCAGGGAAGTCATGAATTCTACACCCTAAGAAGGGCTAGTGCTCAGTCTCCTGCAGTTGAGTTATAAGACTATTGGCTTGAAATTATGATCCTAAACCACATGGATGAAACCTATGGTCAATCTAGGAAAGATGAAGAACTCTGAATTGACTGTGTTCACTCCTGCAATCCACCATATCCTTTAATTGGAGTCTTCCCCAAATGATATTTAGCTGTTCAAAGAAGGGCTCCGATGGATTGTGGGGAATGAGGGTTCATCTGAGCACTAACCCATAGTCCCATCCATCTCGGCATTGGATGAGAAAATTTCAATGCTGTACTTGGTTTTAAGTCGATGTAAATGCTTTGTTTTTTAAAAGTAATTTTATGGGTTTTCCTACTTGAACTGATGCAAGTCCTGTTCAAGATATAGACACCTATGCCAAAGTCGTCAAGGCCTGGATTAACCTAGAAGTTGTATCGAAAGCCCAGTCCAGCAAGAGGTGAAATCAAAACCTGAAGTCACAGCCTTTGGATGTATTTTGTGGCCCCACTTTAACATCATTTCATCAAGGGTAAATTATAGATAGGTACCCTGTACTTTGGGTAGTGACAGATAGGTATCTTGAACTTTCAATTGCAATACTTGATACCCTGAACTCTGAAAAATAGACACTTGGGTCCATCAGTTGTATTCTGTTAGTTAAACATTACATAATGTCAAAAATACCCTTTTCATGTATTTCTGAGATTATTCTCAGGTAACCGAACGTCTCCCCACGATGATGTTCTCACATGGACAGCAAACAGCATATTCAAATTTTCTGACAATGGCATTCTCTTGATGATTTTACAGTAGAATGATATCAAAAACACACAAAAAGGGTATTTTTGACATTATGTAATGTTTAACTGACAAAATACTAATGGATGGACACAAGTGTCTGTTTTTGAAAATTCAGGTACTCAAGTATTGCAATTGAAAGTTTAGGGTACCTATCTGTAATTTACCCTCTCATCAATTCAAAATGGGGCCACAACAATACATCAAGGGCTGTGATTCATGGCTTTTAGCAGAAAAAGGATTTCGTACTCACACCATCCCCACAGCCCTTACAGCCGTGCATTAGGAATATCTCCCTGTCAATAAAAACTTACAAGTACAGAGATGTTCCCAATGCACAGCTGAAAGGGCTGTGCGGACGGATTTTGTGCTACGCCCATGGGCTAAAACTTAAGCCCATTCGCCCCCTATGGAAACCATTGAGCTAGCCCAGTTCAGTAACGCAGCCAGCGGACAGGATTTCTGTGGCATAAGGTAGTCTTCACCAGAAAACCTCATCTCTTATTTACTTTATTGTCTTTGCTTCTTTTTTCTTCTCCACTAAAACCCAATTGCTTGTCATCAGTCGTAGTCTACTTGACTGTAGCCAGTATTACCACCCTCAAAAGGCATTTGCAAAACATTACAGTGAGAATGTTGTTATTCGCTGGCAAATTGAGGAGAAGATTGAGATAGGCTGCTGAATACCATCCACATTTCTGTTGCCAAGGTATTAAGGATTGCAGAGATCAGCAGAGAGAAATAGAGATACTGTTAATGATGAAAACAATAGCATAATTGGTTTTCAATGGAGAACCCCTTTTGACACAAGTAGAAAACTTCAAATTGGTTTTCAAATCAATGATTTAAGCAAGCTAATGAGTTCATAGATAGAGTCATAAACTGCAGTAATCAGAAGACATCTTTTAATTTAAGAGGTAAAAAAATGTGAGAAAAGGAGGAGACTTCAACTCCAGGTTAGCCAACAGAAACAATTACATTGAACATGAATACAACACCCAAATCACCTAATTTACAGTCAACATGATTGTATGATCAATCAAGATAAACATAAACAAAGAATAAAAAATAAAATGTCAAATTGCACTACAAAAAACAATATGTGACTAATTTCTTGTTTTTTTTTTCTATATCACATGCTCTCTTCAACTAACAGATTAACTATAAAGGAACTAGTGAATCACAGCAAACCAATCAATCAAAAGATCCCAATAGCCTCATATTTCACAAGGTGTTGGTGGCTGATTAGGAATCACCTCAAGCAAGCTCAATGGTAGGTTCCCATCCCCACACCGGTTTCTCTTGCATAAGGGGCTTGGAAGCTATCCCTAGCCTTGGCATAGAGAACATAGTAAAGCTCAGATAATATGCCAGTGAAAAAAATGAATGCTGCTCCTGCCCCAAAAACTCCCTTTCTAAGGGTCTGGCAAGAAGGCGGCTGACTCGAAATCATTGTCCTGTATTTTGTGTGGTAGGCATTCCTTGCTGAACCAGCCAGCAAGCAAATCTCGGCAATAAAGAATGTCACCCTGAGATAGAAGTGCAACAGGATTTGTTAGTTATAGAACGAAAGCAGGGAAGGAGGAAACAGAGTAATGGACCATGATCCATGAGCAACAGTGTGCATTTTCACAAACTTAAACAGATTCTATCAAGCACATCTTGTGTTAAATTCGTAAAACCAGGAAGCTGTAAAGACGCATTGGCCAAGGCACATACCAGCAGGTGATGAAGAGGACTATTGCGCAAGCCCTTGAACCTCCAGGGTTCAGAGCTTTCCCACAGCAGAAGCACCTGCTTGCCACCATTATAAGAACTTGGCTAGCCATGAGGAACAGAAATGAGCCCACACCCAAACCAGTTGCAATGTCTGAGTCATAGCGACAATAGTATTGCTCCGAAGAATCACTGACGACAGTGGCCTGCAGGATGCTAGTTGATTAGTAGTGACCAACAACTGAGACAAAGGACTCCTCACAAGTTGCCATAATTTTTCTTAATTGCCCATGACCGTACCACCCCAGCTAGAATGCCAACATCTTATCAGCCATAGCGACTTTAATTTTACTATTAGTTAGTATTCCATTCTCCAGTGACAGAAATCACTAGTGCCTACTTAAAAATAAAATAGACAAGAACAGAAATTCTGTTATTATCCCCAGATCTTGCAGAGAAGTTCTCGTGGGTTCTCTAGAAATTCAACATATAGGATCAGAAATTTTTCATATAACAAAACACTGGCCACAGTTAATCACATAGGAAAACTCTCTGCTGACTAGAGATATGTGTATAGTAAGGGAGGTTGAAGAAAATTAAAAGAAAACGAAAAAACTCTTTGGTTTCTCAAAATCTAATAGATAGTATTTATCTACAAACCACCAAAATTCGCAACTCCCTTCTAAATCACAATTAATTCTTGTCTATCTTATAAGTACTAGAACTTCGGTTGAAAGCTGGGAAAGAAGAAACAGAGGAATCAAGTGGGGCATCTAAGCCAGATCCTGAAAAGAGATCTCCTTTACAAACGGTTAAGAGAGGTAGAATTTCAGCTTGCGAACCACCCCTTTAAAGAGTTGAAAGCAATTCTACCCAGGGGGCACAATTCCCTCCTAAAATCCAGCAAAAATGTTGCAAATCACCAAATCACAGAAACAATAGAACACATGAGTAGAATTTCTAGTTGTAGAAAGCACATATATCTACACGTCAAACCCAGACGAATAGTAACATCAGTAGATGAATAAGTAGATAGGTTAGGAGGAGAGAGAGAGAGAGAGAGATTAAAAACTCACAGAACTTCGACGCTGCTCAGCAGCAATGGCAAGGGAAAAGGCGATGAGATCGAAGATGAAGACGATGATCAAGAGCAGCTTGGAAGCCATTTTGATGACTACAAGATCTCTCTATTTTTCTCTATCTACCTATGCGTGAATGATGAAGCAGAGGAACTTAAAGAGCTAAGCAAATGGAGAAATAAGGAAGACCCAGTTGCAGTATTGAGGATCAAGCAAGTGGGCGAAAAGCAATATATATATTATTGTAATTGATATTTGTTAAATGCAGATAACTTTTACCGGATCAGAGCTGGAGACTGGAGGAGATTCCGATTTAGTTGATTGTTGGTGAAGTAATTATGTGAGGTAGCAGTGTCGACACCGCTTCCAACGCTATACTAATAGCTAAAACCTCTCTCACTCTCTCTCTCTCTCTCTCCGGCGACGACGACCGGACGATGACGAGGGACTCTTATCAAGTGTCAACTACTCAGAATGTAACCGCCAATCCGACGATCCGACGATGAATGACATTGATAAGGTATTTTGCATTCCATTAAATTTATCAGTATTCGCCACAAATTAACGCCACGTGTAACGCACTCAGAGCAAAGCCTAGGAATCACGTAACCATTCACCGTCGGTGTTGTGACATGTGAAACGTGATTGCAATGGTGGGTCCCGCTCTAGGTAGATGATGGATATCACCTGTCGTAGAGGTGGATAACTTGTGAACGGGGAATTAGTTTCCGTCTCTCACTTGCCTATGTGGATGTGGTAATTCGTTGAATGTACAAACTGCCAGTTGGAATTCGATGTGTCTGATCTAATCCAATGACCATAAAGTGACAACAGCTAGTATTCTAATCCGACGAAAGATTAAGCAGGATAAATAATACATACTTCGCCGTTGTCCTTGGATCAGAATAATGGACGAGATGGGACCCATCAATCATTTTTGTAGTCTTGACTCTGACACGAACCCGCTCAGGCCTCCCACAGCTTCAAATTTTATTTTATTTTTGTTTAATTACGAATTAAGTAAATCTTAATCGCTTGTTAACAGGGAAAAAACAGTGAAGACAAAAGATCGCGCGCGCGAGCCAAACCTGAAAAGGACACGTGCGTGACAACGAATTCCAACCTCGTATGGACGTGTATCAGCAGATTCGAATTGGGATTTGCTCGTCATGAGGAACACCTCACAATCGTGTATTGGAAATATCTTATCAACAACAACATTAAGTAGGGGAGATGTTCTAGATGTACGGTTGGGAAGCGTTGTGAGGTTGGTATTAGGAGAGTTAGGAGCAGATCCAGACTCGTTACCAATTGCTGCATTTTTTTTTGTTCTGGCATCATAGATCTACGCAAGATAGAAAAAAGTAATAAAAAATAATTTCAAAGAATTTTTAGAATCAAGAAAATCCAATTGTAGATCCCACTTATCTACATGAAAACTTGTTCCAAATTGTATACCTTGGCTACGGTTTTACAATGAACTTTGAATGCCCATGTTTGAGCATTGCTTCTAACCTAATTTTATGAGCTTTAAAATTAATATCTTTAATTATTAATAGAATTAATATTAATATTAAATTTTCTGAAATATACAAACATATTTTAATTCTTCTTCTATTTTCAACTTTGCATAAATATACCACACTCTTCAACTAAACTACTAAAATATATTTATTATGTGTTTACAAGGATTATTAAAATTTATTTCTAACTGCAATGGTATATGCATCATAGAGTTTGATGATGTCCAATTCAAAGTGTCCCGAACTAGGATCGTAAACAAATTGATCCTGTCAATTGGTGGAGCCAAGGTGGAAGGATGAAGCCACGTAGCAAGATCTAGAACCAAGGACAAGGTCAAAGGCTCGAAGTGTTGTTCCTTGTGTAAGTACTCCGATGCTCAAGTTAGTCAAGAACGGTGGATAATCGGGCTGAGTAGTTAAGAGAAAAGCGCTGGTCCAAGTAAGGGCAAAATTGTTAGACAGTGTATGCCCTTAGCTCCAATCAGATTGATGTACATTATGACATTTATTGTAAATGAATAAAGTACATATTTGATTTATTTTATTGTGGTGTTTCTATGTAATACCCTTAAACTAGACACTTATGAGACTCGTGTTAGTTTAGAATATTCACAGCCATTGGATAAGTCTGATGTGCCGCCAAGTGTTGGGGTGGCCTGTCTCAGCTGCTAGGGTGAGACCCGAGGTACATGCAGTGTAGCTTTACTTGAAACCCTGAATCAGACCAGATTTCCAGTACTGCCATAGACCTTGGTGATTAGTGGGCAAAACTGGAAAGTTACACCTGACCCCTAAACTCGATTATGATACTACACTAGGTGTCGGATTGGGTTGTCTTTGATATGCCAATCAGTGAGATCCTTAGCGGGGGTCAAAACCTGGGTATGTTGGGACAGTCCAAGAATTCATCTGAGTGGGTGATCATAGTGACAGGATCAGCCCCTTTGTCGGACAAA